AGGACTTCCCATTGCAAATAGGCGTGGTGGTAGAGGCACGACCCGACGGGGCAACAGTTAACCTTTTCGAAAGAAGAAGTAACGATAACTTGGTCAGATACCACCCAGACGCAGTCCAATGGCATGAAAACTCCCACCTCTACCGGATCCGGGTGCTGCAAAGCCATAAGGAAGGGAAGACCCAATGGCGAGCATGTCGACCAGAAACCACCCTAGCCAGGCTAGCCATGGACCCTCTGGAGTGGCAATGGAAAAGAGGACAAAAAAGCCAACTGGTACACCTGCATGAACTAATAGTCAAAACCACCTACAGAATGCTCAGACCCCGGGTGGATGTGCAGAGAGATAGGCGATAGGTGGCAGAAAAACCTCAACCTAAATAGAGACCAAATAAGAAGATTAAAATGGTTAAGAGGGGTGAAGGAGAGACCGGCAAAATTCACCTCTCTGCAATGGCAAATAGGCCACAGATGCCTTCCCACAAACAATTGGATCATCGCCAGGACAAATTTGGAACAAAGGGGGGAGGCTCTCCCATGGTGCAAACTCTGTAACGCAGGGTTCCCGGGGCGTAGAATATGCGAAACAATAGAACACGTCTTCCTGCAATGCCCTGGGGCGGTCCTGCTGTGGCGATGGTGGGACCGTATCTGGTCACAACTGGGCACCGATGAGGAGTGGCCTTGGAGATGGGAAACTCTCCTCTTAGGTGAATTTGGAAAGCCACACGCATCTAGCCGAGCTAGAAACCTCTTCCGCATAGCTAGGAAGGCAATGATCTGGACACTATGGTTAAGAAGGTGCATCTTTGATCAAGAGGGGGCAAGAATGGGGGAAGGGGAAGTAGCAGACACAGTGAAACCTGTCTCTTATACACATCTAGATGTGTATAAGAGACAGGCTATATTCTTCTCTCAATTTCACCTCACACTACCTACCTACCACTACTCCTAATTGTAGGCATACGGGGAACCCGTAGCAGCCAGAACCGTGTTCTCTCAATTTCACCTCACACTACCTACCTACCACTACTCCTAATTGTAGGCATACGGGGAACCCGTAGCAGCCAGAACCGTGTTCACGAGAGAACATGCGGGGGCTGCTCCCGACCTGCAGGTGGGCGATACCGGCTAGGGGACAGCTGGTAGCATCAGGGACCATGCCAACAGGACCAATCCCTGTGCCTCCCCTCAGGTCCCCTCCCCTATGAACATCAGCAGACTCTACTAAATGCCAATCGGGGGATCCAGTGGTCTATCTCTAGGTGGCGGGCGCCAAGCATGCCCAGGAAGGTCCATGAGGCCAATGTGGATTGAACCCCTGAAAGGGCTGAAGTTGTTTTTTTTCCTTTTCTTGTGACATTTCTGATATTTTGCTCAGGTCAATACTCAGGCTCACAGGAGAGGGAAGAATCAGTGGGTAACAGCTTGCATCTGGCGCCTGTTTTCGGGTGAAGAGATCCTCTCCCCCTCTGTCTAATCTCCTGCTCAGTTAATACCCTGGATGCCAGGGTAATCAATGCTGGCAGGAACTCTCCACAGACTTTTCTTGGTATGAATTCATTCATTGTGTATATGGGACACTGGACCCGTTTTCCAGCAGGTGATGCTCCCCACCAATAGATAAAGCCCCTCCAGGTGCTAAAAAAAAAAAAAAAAAGGGTTGGTATGATCTCCTTCACGTAAGTCTTCATAGTGATGTACAGTGGCAATAAAATGTGTCCACGAACACAGCCACGAGGATGAACAAGTAATGGCTATAGGGATACATTCATCCCCATGTATCTCATGATGCCTCTAACAGGCCATCCGACAGACGCGGAAGCCTTCCTGTCAGATCCACCACGATATCTGAATTTCACATTTCCAAGTTCTATTTCTCAGAGCCAAAAAAAAAAACGAATTCTGGAAATCAACCCCCCCCCTTTAGAGCCCATAAAATCCAGACTTCTCGCCCACGCAAAGCCACGAGCTATCATGTCCAAGTTAGTCCAACTTTTTTTTTTTTTTTTTTTTTACGCGTCTGATTGGAAGGGAGGTGGGCATCTTTACAGTCCCCGCTCGGAAACTACCAGGCCGTCGAGATGCGATCTTTTCGACTGCCGTACTGTGTCACTCGAGGCCACACGTGATTGAAATCCTGAACGAAGTGGTAGAATACTTGGCTAATGGGCCTGAGGCAAAAGTTGATCAGTTTATTTTTCTGCATAACCGATTTTTTTTTTCACATTTTTTGGATTTTGTGTTTTTTTTTTCTGTTTTTTTTTTTAAACAGATTCCCATTGTATTATACAAGCCCGGAAACGGACCCGGCGTCGCTTCCAAAAAGTGGGCAGACCGCTCCATCGAGCACGGCATCACCTGCCGAGCCCAAAAGGTTGTCCTCTGTAACAATGATCTCTTCCCACTCACCTACTCGTGTAGATTCCATATAAGACCAAAACTAGGGGGAGCACAAGCTAAGTACAAACGGACAAACAAAGGGCTAACGAGTGCTAACAGGTACCAACTAAACTTGGCAATCCAAAGGTAAAATCAAAAATTGAAACGAAGATATCACAGGAAAAAAATTAATTGTTTGTTTGTTTGTTTGTTTGTTTGCTGAGACCTTCTTTGGTCCTTGCACGCCTGGGCAGCCCGGGAAAATAAGGTGACCCGGGCGGCCCGGCCGGTAGCCTAGATTATAATCCATTATAATTTCATTTTGTTTTGAATGAGTGTGCCAAAGCATTCTCAACAAACTTTATCCGGTTCCACAGTCAATCAAGTGAACCAAAAAAATAAAAGAATAAAAAAAATACAGCTTGGGATAAATTACGGACTGATAAATCCTCTCTGGATTCCACGCCATTGGTGACTGCAAATCCATTACGAGTCCAAATGTTCTCGAACTCAAATGCGAAGTTTCTGCCGGCCCAAGATTAACTATTTGCTATCACAAACAGAAAAGGACAAGTACTTTCGCATCTTCCGAAACTCCAGAGTACCTCTTCCTCTTGTGAAACTTCAGATTACCTTCGCATGAACGGCAAGCTCAGAACTTAAAAAAAAAATAAAAAAATCAGAGTATGCCAAATGCCAAGACGTTCACAAAGAGGGCAAAATGCAGACATATGGCTTTTAAAGAACTTCAAGTACCTTAGGTAGCAAATATACCCATCCACCTATGCATTGTGACAAATATGCCTGAAAGGTGCAGAAATACTATGTTTTAAAAAGTTTCTGCGCAGATTCAAAGGCCCATACCTTCTTTTGTAACAGACGACCCGTCCACCGGGTGTGAGGCAGGCACTCGGAGGCCTACAGCCCAGTCTATTTGTAGCAAACATGAAAACCACATGCAAATAAGCCTAGAAACTTTTCAAAAACAGGATCTTCTGCAAAGAGACCTGTATAACGGAGGACCCCGACTCCGAGGCAGGCACTCCGACTCCGAGGCCGACTGCCCAGTCTATTTGTAGCAAACTTCAGTCTATTTGTAGCTACGGTACTTCTCCAAGCCGGCATGTCTGTAATTTGTCCTCTCAAGAAGATTAGTACATTCCAAAGTCAAATTGAATGAGGTTTTATAACACAGCCCAAGCTAAGTAGAGAGAGTCAGCCCCCTCCAAGAATTCTAATCCATATCCAGTCGAACCTACTCTATCTCAGAATGGCTTTTCCCGCTAATCAATGGCCCGGGGGTTCGTCCGTAATCGTTGAGGTATTTGTTAATAATAGATTGATATTTACCCACTTGGGATTCCAAACAGGGCTATTCTGCACAATCACCGTTGCTCTTGTCCGTGGTAGAGCAACGAACATTAGCCAAACAGTACGAGTTCTCTGCTCCAGGGAGGCCCGGCCAGGTTGTATTTGCTAGACTAAGTCAGGAAAGCACCAGACACTGCAGACAGGAAGACTTCTTCTCGAAATTCATGAAGACTGCACGGCGCCAGAAACTTATAGTAATAGACAGGCCTGCTCAACTTCCAATACCACGGTAGAGTTTTCCGCAGAGCCTTTCTCAAGTCCCCGTGCAGTGCTGCGCAGCCCCCTCCACTACAGCAGGACGGGTAGACCGGGTATGCAATTCCCGCCTCGGTACGTGCAATCGTCTAACGCTATATGAGTACAGCGGCTACCGAAAGTCCGCGCAGGTTCGGCAGTAGCTAATTAAAAAGAGATCCTGGGTCACACCCAGCGTTTCCAATGGCCAACTTTAGCAGTTCTCGAAACAGAGCAAAAAAAGTGCGCAACCAACTGGCCTAGCTCAGTTGGTACACTCCTGAACTGTTCAAATACAGTCCTGAGTTCGAACTCCAGTGGATGAAGCAGATGAGTGAAATGCTACCTTCTTCACCCGAATAGAACGCCCGGTCATTGTCGGAGTGTACCCCTGAATTACCGGGGGTCGGTAAAAAATCCCGTCGTACCCACTGGCCTAGCTAGTTTGGTACACCCCTGAACACCCGAGTTCGAACTCCAGTGGAAGCAGATGAGTGAAATACGACAATTCTCAATTACCTGGGGACAACAATTTTCAATTACCTGGGGCCAGTCAGTTCGGGGCCTAGCTAGTTTG